TTTTTGTCTGTTCGTTTTTGGATTTATTTTTTTATTATTTTTGGGTTGAGCTATATTATAATAGGATAGTTTTAACCGCGTAGGCAACCACGTGAGACTTGTTTTTTTTTATTTTTTGTTTTATTATTCATTTTGGATTCATTTTTAACTATTTTGGGTTTGAACTTATTAAGGTTTAGGGTTTATACAACTATTTTGATCTTTAAAACAATAAGCCCAAAAAAAACATAAGAACCTTATAAACAAAAAGCCCATATGATAATAACCTAAATAAAAAAAAAATCAAAAATACATGATAGCTGCGTGGTTTGAACCCACAATCTTGCATATTTAATTAGACACCTTATACCACTTGGCTAAAGTGTATTTCATTGTTTATAACCATCTTACCAAGACTATGTGTGTTTAAAAAATATTTTTATGATGATGACATTAATTGGTTTATGCATGAGAGCAGTGGGAATTGAACCCATGTCCTCGGAGACCAAACATGGGTACTAAGACCACTTGGCTAAACTGATATTCTTTGTTTGTAGCCATTTTAAAACAACTATCTATTTTAATATAAAAATGTGGGACCCACAATCTGCCTATGTGGACACCTTAAGAAGCCTTGAAAGTGTATCATTATAATATAGATTGTCTTGAAAGTGTATCATTATAATAAATAAATAAAATATGTATCTATATATACATTTTAATTAAATTTGAAGTTTACAAAATAATAATATATCCGCGCAGGCGCGCGGGTCAAAGTCTAGTTTGTATTAATGGATAGCAAAATGAGAGTAACAGGTTTACAAAAATGATACTATAAGAGGCTAGAAACCATACAAAGTCACTAGAACAAAACCTCTTCAAATGTAGAATATTGAAATGCTAAACCTCTGTTACAAAACAGAACCTCTCGATCTCATACATTAGTAGCCACTTTCCCCGGAATCAACTCCACCGACTCTTCATCAACCTTCTCACCATCGTTCATCACTTGAGACACACCATCACTCGGTTTCTTAGCCACAGTCACAGACTGCTGATAACCAATACCACCACAGATCGTAACAAGAAGACAAACCAACCCAACAGGACTCGCATGCTTATCCCAAATCAAAACATTAATCACCACAGTCAAAAACTTGTTAACAACCCCAGTCACAGTAAAAGCCGTCGCGGAGATAGCCTGCCTAGCAGCAAACCCAAAGAAACTAATGAGAAACCCAAACACACAAGACAACGCGACCGCGAAAAACGCAACCGGCTCAAACAAACTCCCTCCGTTAGCATTAACCGCCGTGAAAACATCCGTGTACTCCCCCGTTAGAAACCAAAAGATCGGCGCAATCATCAACGACAATAGATTATTATACAAAACAAACCCCCAAGTATTCAATTCAAGACTCGAAACCATATGTTTAATATAAACCATCTCGGTCGTAATCGTAACGAGATAAGCCAAGGCCCAAGAATAAGCCGTTAACGTAAAAGCAGAGTCATTCGCCACGTAACCAACCGCGCCCGCGAGGATCACTAGCAACGAACAAAACGTGAGTTTCGAAGGCCTCGGCTGGGAACGGAAAACGGTATCCGCGATCGCGACGAGTAACGGCGTTAAAGATCGAAACACGATGAAGGTATCGACGTTAGCGTGACGTAGAAGGTTCGTGTTGGTGAATATCGCTAGGTAGAATACGACGGCTGCGGGGAGGAACTTCTTGGCTGTGTCCCACGTGAAGGCGTCGTGGTGGAGGAGCCCTAGCTTTCCGAGGAGGTAGACGCCGAGGGTGGAGGTTAGGTATTGGAGGGAGGTGAGGAGGGCGGGGTAGTTGAAATAGGTGATGGCGAACTTGTTGATGACGGCGAGGAGGCTGGAGCAGAGTGCGTAGCCTATGACGAGGCTGCTCGTGGCGTAGGTGGAGGAGGAGGAGGATGACATTGTTTGTGTTGTGTTTGACCAGATCGAGGAAGAGAGGAATGGATCTGGATCGGGAGAGGAGAGAGATGTGACTATTAGAGGAAGGAGGGAAGGAAGGCGACGACTTTACATATCAGAGTGTCGTGCGGGATTGGCTATTGCATGTTTGTGATCTTTTTAAGTCTTTGACGTTACTTTTTTGGTTAATAAGTTAGAGTTAATTTGGTCAAATCTCCACTAATGGAAGGAAGCTAATTAAGAAAATGATTCTAATTTCTACAGGTTGGGGGTAAAATATAAGAAACTTACTAGATACTGACCCGCGCTATGCGCGGATATTATTTTGAACAAATCTTATTTACTGAGATTATAATATATAATTTTTATAAATATTCTTTTTTGGCACAATAAATTTTTATATATTTTTACTTATAATATAACATGTGGATATATTATATACTATTGTTTTTTTTGCTATCTATATAGTATATTTAGATAGGAGTGGATATTTACCCGATATTTGAACTTTATCCGAACCTGACCCGAAGAATCTGAGTCGAAATCCGGGCCGAGAAAGCAAAAAAAATATCTGAACGATATTGATTTAGGAGATATTGAATATCCGAACCCGAATAGATATCCGACAATAACCCAACATATGTATATTCATCCTTATATTTCTAGTTTACATCTATCGTGTTATTTAAAATATTTATATTGATGTTACACATACATTAAGATCATATAATACATACATATAATTACAGAGAAAATGATTTGACCCTCACTTAAAATGCATGTTAAACGTTTTGTTTCATATATTTACAAAAGTTACATCTAAATGTTTTTTTAAATCTCCAAATTGATGTTTATTTATTTTTGAAATGTTATCCCACATTTATTAATCATTTAATCTATTAAAAAAATCAGTTAAGTGAAATATATATTTTTAAATACAATAAACTTAAGAAATGAAAAAAAAATCTTTCAAAATCTAAATATCCAAATCTAACCCGAAACAACCGAACCTAAATTAAAAATATTTGAACCCAAACCGAAATACAAAAATACCTAAAGGGGTTCTATATCTTTTTACTGAAGTACCCAAAAATCCTCCGAACCCAAATGAAATTAGATGTTTGTTTTTCAAGACCAAAAATTTGAAGGCCATATCAAAAATAAATTATAAACTCGTATGACCCACTAATTTGTAAACTAATAATACTTTCCGTCTACGAACTTGGCCCATTAACTAAACTCACAACGTTGGTTTTGTATTATTATCCAATGATGGTATGATTTAAATATACCGTTGGTTATTTTATTAAGTAGCGTCTATGTAATATTACATGTAACTCTTTACAAAAGGTCCAAATTCAAATCACAACTTTCAATAGTAGATAAAAAAATAGGACTCTGTTTTAATATATTAGATTCTTGGTTTCCCCTATAAGAGACTTATATCCTACATACATCAACCAATAAGATGTTGTTATTTTATGTTTGATATCTTATAAAAACGAAACAAAATCTTGTTAATTTATAATATATTTTAAAATAAAAAATAAGAAAAATAAATAAAAATAATAATATTTAAAAAAACGAAAAAGATACTTTAAAATAAATATGTTAAAATTATATTATGTTTTTTAAATAAAAAGATAAAAACAAAATATTGTTACATTATATTATGTTTTTAAAATTAAAAATTTAAAATAAATAAAAAACAATATAATTGGTTAGTGTTGAAATATTTTTTTAAATATTTTTTTGGTTTTTTAAATATTATTATTTTTGTATTTTTATTTTAAGAACATAATCTAACTTAACAAATTTTTCTTTTTAAATATCAAATATGCAACAACACCATCCTATTAATTGGTAAACCTAGAGGTTTATCTTTGGGGTGAACACAAGAATAACTCAATATACGAACTATACATTTAAGTTATTATCGGCAAGTTCCACCACGAGCCGGGTCGACTGATTTTGAGAATTTTGCAGGGTAGATGTGGGTTTGGGTTGAGATTTTAAAGTGAGGTGGATGTGAGTCAGTCGAATTTGAGTCGCGAGTATTTGTTCACCAACAATTTTTTTAAAAAATATTCTGTTTTTTAAATACTTTTTTGTAATATACAATACTATATATATTAAATTAATTATAGATATATTAATTTTGATATGATTTTCTAAACTTATTATTCTATAATTAAAATAATCACTTTTATTATAACTAATATTATCCGCGGATTTTGAGGTGTAGATGCGATTTTTTGTTTACAGGTTGTGCTGATTGGATTTTTGAATCAAAAAATGATCTGCGGGCAGGTTGACCCGCAAAATAATATATTATATATAATAAATCTCTTCGGGCGAGTTTTTATAAAGAAAATATTTAAAAGATAGATCTAAAAAATATTGGTTCATAGAGAAATAAGATTAAAAATCATTAATTCCTTTATTTTGTAAACACTCGGACCATAAGGGTGGGATAATTAATGGTTACATTTAGGTATAGCTTCATAATATAGATGTGTATTTAATTAATAAATTTACAAAAAAGGGTTGGGCGGTAAATATATAAATTTTAGTGTAAAACTTAATCTGTAAATTTTTGATTTAGCAGTAACTAATGTAATTGTACAAATTAAATGACAGAAATATAAAAAGAAAAAAAGATTCCAACAATAAAAACATGAACTACACCGAGAGAAGGGTCTCACCTTTATTTGATAATAGGAGGAAACATGATTACCCAAGATGATAGATTCGGATGATTACCCAAGTCAATATGAGGATCGTTTCTTTGGGTATGAGTAGAAATTACAACAAAGTATGTTATCTCTTGCAGCGCAGTATATGGAATGTGCAACAATGTAACATATAGATCTTGTCTTCTGATCTATTATGTGATAAAAGACATTGGATCATAATGAATGATAGCCGAACATAAAATCATATAAAAACCGAGAAAACGATAGAAAAAAAAAAAGTTAGCGAATCAGTTTATCCTGCAAAATAAATTAAGAAGCATCATGATATTACTTTTCTATTATTATGTTCAGCTTAAAAATACATTTGTTGTATGTTTTGATTCCAATATTTTGTTAAACCTCAATTAATATTTATAAAATTAAGTGTTAAAAAAAAGAAACTCTAAGCACAAATATGATATGCATAAATTGTATATGTGGAGCTCCAAATAAACATGTGTTATTCATTAAAAACAAACAAAAAAATATTATCAATACCATTAAAATAGAAGCATTATGTTTAATGATTTTTTTATTTTTTTTTCTAATTATACCATTATTTTTATGGATAAAATTAATTTTTATTAATGTAAAGTAGTTTTTTTTTCTAGGCCTAAAAACTATATAATAATATGTTTCATTAATGACTTGATTCTCTTTCAAATTTTATAAAAAAAATATTGCAAAAATATTTTTTCTATGTGGATTAGGCGAGTCAAATTTTTAAATCGAAAAAATGACTCAACCCGCTATGGAGCGGGTCGAATGGGGTGGGTCGGACGGGATAGGTCACACTGAGCGATTGAAATTTTGTAACTAAATGATGTTACGAATTAGTCATAAAAAAAATTGGACCATTTAAATTTTTAAATATACAATCTTTGTCAAATATACGTTTCATATACAACCATTGTTAACTTATTTAAAAATATAAAAAATATGTTTGACATTATAAGATTTTTTTTTTTCATAACCGCATAATGACTTGATGTTGATTATATGACATATTTAAAAAGTGTATTTTTCAAAAAAATAAAATAGAAAGTGTAAATTTCAAATTTCAAACTGTTTGTAGAGTAATTTACAAATTATTCCTAAAATTTAAGCAATTTCTTTAAACATGATATCACCTATTATACTTCTTAATCGAATAAAATAATAAGGAAAGAAAAAAAGAAAAGAAGATGTCTTGATGGATAAGCCAAGATTCCAATTTATAAGACGGCATTATTTGCTAAATGCTCTCGTCCTTCCCTGTGATCCATCTTCAACAATACTACTACTACTAGATCTGTCATTCTCTCTCTCGTCGATAATTTGTGAATGGCGGCCGTAGGAATCGAGACGAGGCGTCCTGAGCCTGCGATGGAGGAAACCTGCAACGTCAAGGGGGCGGTGGCGAAACAAGGAGAGGGGCTTAAACAGTACTATCTCCAGCACATCGATGAGCTCCAGCGACTTCTCCGCCAGAAATCTAACAACCTCAACCGCCTCGAAGCTCAGAGGAATGATCTCAATTCTCGAGGTCCTTTTCTTAACCCTAATTGGAATCAAATTGGATCGTGTTCTTTTAGGTTTTAGTAATCTCGGATTTCGTGTTAGGGCTTTCGATTGATTGATTGATTCTGTTTGATTTGTTAGGTGTGTGTTGAGTATGTATTAGATTCTGTAGAGTTGTTGTGAGGTGAGGATGAGAGAAAGATATCAACTGGAGAGGTATCGGCACTAACTAGGAGTATAGTTATAGATTGATTCATCGTTTTAGCCACAAACTGTTATCTTGAAGGTGTTCAGAATTATATTGGTATATACAATAAGAGCTGTTAGTACTGATTGTGCAACTGTGAAGCATAGTTTTCTCTTTACTCTCGTTGTTGTATAAGGAATCATCCCAATAATCAATTATTTGAGGTAAAACATTTTAATGATATAGAACAGACTTGGAGTTCGTGTTTGAATTTTTTTTTATTAGTCTTTATAGTTTCTAGTTATTTCTTTGACACTGTTAATTCTTTTATTGACAGTAAGAATGCTGAGAGAGGAGTTGCAGCTGCTTCAGGAACCTGGGTCATATGTGGGTGAAGTGGTAAAAGTGATGGGGAAAAACAAGGTCTTGGTTAAGGTATGAATTCCTTATATCATGTTTTTGTAGGATTAACTTGGCTTTTTATGGTTGTTGTAAATCTTATGAACGTAGCTATCAGTGAAGCTAAACTCTCGTTTTCCAGGTTCATCCAGAGGGGAAGTATGTTGTTGATATTGACAAAAGTATAGACATAACGAAACTTACACCATCAACAAGAGTTGCTCTCCGTAATGATAGCTATGTCCTCCACCTTGTCCTACCAAGTAAAGTTGATCCCCTGGTTAATCTTATGAAAGT